ATAGCTTTCATGGTGTGCTTGGAAATTCGTTATGTGCTTGTGCTCGAGTTCGCGAACGTGTACGACGACAGGGACGCGATGAGCAGCCAGAGCATGCCTTTATCGAAGAACTTCTTCCTGTCATACGGCGTCGGCTGTATATTGGCGCTGGTATTCGGCGACGGGGGGCACGCCCTGGGTGACAGCGGTCTGGTGAGCAAGGCTCGCGGAAGGTCGTATCGACAACGCACCTCGTTGAAATGCTGGACCTACAAGTACTACGCATCCGAATGCATACGGCGCACACCGGACGCTGAACCCCGATGACATGCCCGACGATGACCCGTTCAGACCAGACCGGCTTGGAGGCATGCCTAGCTTCCTGTAGGTACGGTCGTCATATACAAAGCACCAGGGAAACGGCGACGTGAGATAACTCACCAGCGGTATATTCAGACGGGAAGGTCGACATCTTTGCAAACGCGAGCGGGAGAACAGAGGGGAATCTTGAGTGGCTGAGGAAATGGCGAGCAGGAGCGGGCAGGAGGACGAGAGCGAGTTTAAAACAGCACTACGGCGTCTGGGGTTTACTTAGCGCCATTTCGCTTCCGCGTCCCGCCCGTTACGAGCTGCGACGCGCAGGATGTTATTCTCGGTGTGTTTGATCTCTTTCATCCACCCAGCTCCACAAGCGTGACTAACAGCCTACTCTAGAGCCAACAGAGTCGAGGTGGGAGCCATTCTCGAACGGTCAACTCGGCGTTTGCAATCGACAACGACCCATGGGCTATGCCTTTCCTTGCGCCGAGTGCTGAGACTGACGGCTGGGTACGCTGTCTCCCCTCCTCCCCTTGGACTTGACCAAACCCACTTTCAGACGAACCGCCCAGAGGACCAAGCAAAGCCCTGTCGAGTAAATGAAGGGACCTCAAGCCGAACGTACGCCATGTCCGCAAGCTCAAGGAGACCACGAGCCGCAACTCCTACTTTTGCAGTTTCAATGTCTCGCCATTGCTTTCTACTGCATTAAAAAGCATGATTCTGAATGCAGGCCCAGGGACCAGATCGACGGCACCGTCGAATATCTCGGGGGACGTCTTCGCGATCCTTGTGCGTCTCTACAGCAAGGACCAGAAGATGTAGAACATGGCGGTCAGGCAGTAGGTTATTTTTTCCTTTCTAATCACCGCAGGCTCACGGAAACATAAGTCGTTATAGATACCAAGAATCCAGAGGGTTCCGTCGCGCCGCATGAGCACTTCCGCCGTGGTGACATTTCCGATACTGCTGGAACCCTGGGACACATCAAGAAGGGTGAACTCTCGATCGAGTATTCCTTCAGAACCATTTCCGAGCCTCCACCAGCCACCGCCAGGCCGCATCGGCCTCAAGGACCAGGAAACTCGGTACCACAAACAATACCTGGGCCTCGTTCTCAAAGAAGACACAAGGCACACTTCCATCGCCCGCAGTCGTATAGTCAACTAAATCAGTCTGTCCTTCGACGATCTTGACTTCCTCGAGGTCGAGACGCTAATTATTGCTGGTGGTGCGACCGCGCAGCTGTTCATCGCGCACCACAACGACCTCGACCTCGACCTCGACGCGTACCTCCATATCTAAGCCCTATCTGGAGCAACTCACCGTCGACGGTCTGGGCCCGGTGTACGAGATCGGGCGTGTTTTCTGCAACGAGGGCGTCGACCTGACGCACAGCCTCCGAGTTCTCGGTCTGCAAGGACATGTACGACGTCATGGACATCACTGAGAGCCTAATCGAGGGTGCTGTGAAGCACCTCGCTGGCAGGAAGACGACGGTAGCGTTCCACCTCGAGGGCAGGGACAGCAAGAAGGTGTACGGGCTGGACTTGAAGCGGCCATAGGCGTGATACGACATAATCACGACGCTGGAGAAGAAGGTGAAATTCCCGGTGAGGGAGACGCTGCACACGGAAGAGGCGAACAAGTCCGCGCATGAGCTATGCCAGAGGGTCTGTCCTTTTACTCGTTGATATGACCACGAAAATTAAACGTCCTTATGTAGCGTCATTCATCCGTATTGTGTGAGGGCTTTGAATTATTGCGCCTGCCAGCTGCACCCACACGGCTTGCCCAGTGCTTCTATTTCTCGTTCTCAAGGCAATCTACTGACATGGCAGACTTGCGAGACAGGCTCCAGCCGAAGCCGCCTCGCCCGAGCGTTCCAAGGCATCGTCTCGAGAGCCCTTACCAGATGAAGCAGGACTCTCATGTATTGACTACGCACCTCATTGGAATCCTACGTGTCCGAACGCGTACGGCACACGCCAGACGCTAGATCGCCTAAAAGACCCGGGGACCTTCACCGCACAGCACATGTACTTCCGCCGTGGTTCGCCGTCGATATTGTCGGAAACCTGGAGTGTACCAAGGGGAGCGAGCTCTCAATCACCCCTTTTAACCTCGCCCGGAATCTCGCCCGGAACCTCATCCAGCTGCCGGTAACCCAAGGCCAGGAGACCCGCGACCGCAAGCGCTACTTGGACCTAGGCGTCATCCTCAACGAGGATACAAAGCACACCTTCATCGCCTGCAGCCAAATTGTCAACGGCATCCGTCGATTCTTCGATAGCCTCCGCTTCCTCGTAATCGAGACGCCCGTCATCGCTGGTGGTGCAACCGTGAAGCCATTTATCGTGCATCACAGCGACCTCAACCTCGACTCGTACCTCCGTATCTCTCCCGAGTTCTATCTAACGCAGCTCGTTTTCAGCGAGTTGGATGGGGTATACGAGATCAATCGTTTCTTCCGCAACAAGGGCGTCGACCTGACACGCTACCCCGAGCTCTCGATCTGCAAGTCCTACATGGCGTATGCGAATATGTCCGACATCATGGTCGCCGTTGAGGGCCTGATTGAGAGCCTCGCCAAAGAATCTCACCAAGTGTCTGACAGGCGGGAAGGCGACTCTGACTTTCCACCCCGACGGCGAGAAGGTGTACGAGCTGGATTCAAAGCGGTCATGGGCGCGACACGACATATCCACGGCGCTGGAGAAGCTGAATTTTTTTTTTTTTTGCCGGGGGAGCCGCTGCACACAGAAGAGGCAAATGAGTCTCTGCGTAAGCTGTGCCAGAAGGTCTGCCATTTCACGCGCTGAAATTATCATGGAAGGTTAACATGCTTATGTAGCATAATATTGAACTCCGGGCGAATCCAAGCTTGTCGGCGAGCTCATCGAGCCTTAGTGTCTCCCCCGCTTTCTACGGTATGCTTATTTGCATGACCGCTCCTAGTGTACCACTAACAACCGAGCAGTCGGTCTCTCGCAGGTGATGTCGCCACTCACAAAGTACTGTTAGTTGAACGATGCGTTGGAGCAACGGCTGTGGTTCGAGAAGCGGGCGAGGCGGAAGGAGCAGGGCGATGTCGAGGATATCGGTGACGCGTGCGCATTGTTCCATGTTGTATCTGTGCTCCCGCTGATGACCGCACTATGACAGCCTGGAGTTCCACTCTCGCCGACGAGCGGACGGTATCGACCGCGGCCTGGCGGTGTTTCTGGCCGATTCTGCCGGTGCGTCTACCTTTTCTCAGGTCCTCTTCACTCTCGTTGACCATCTGTTCAAATATCAGAGTGGTCTTACTGGTCCCTGCGGGGAAGTCGATCGAGACGGCGGCCAACATCGTGCGTCCCGTCGGGCACTCTGGACAAGTTCGTTTTGGTCTTCTCGCGCACGTTGGACGGCTGGGAGATAGTGAACTTTTCCAGCCGAAGGAAGACGTGCCTCTTCTCATGGGCCTCCAGGCTCGCCTCGGCAACATTTTCCTCTCGTTCATGACGCAGTTCCCCTCCTTCGAGGTCCGCGCCATCACGTTCGTCGATGTGCCAGCGGCATTCTTTTCCACTACTGCTCCCCCTATCCATGCTCCTGAAGCTGGGCGTAATGAACGACGAGGTCACGCTCCGCCCATTATTCTCCGCGTTTACGGTCCTGGCAGCTCTCCTAGCGCTCGAATGGCTCGATCTTGGCGGCTTTGCGTGGAACAAACGTGACACTGTATGCTGGAAGCGGCGGGTGTGTTTGCTCTCCCTTATCGCTGAGGTTGTCTAGGTTCTCAAGCTCTGGAGGCGGCACGGCAAGAGCATTGAGATTCTCTTGCTCTCGGCTGCAAACAACGTGTTCAAGAAGGACGGGACGGAGCGCGACCGGCGGCGTCTCGAGGCGCTTGTGGAAGAGCTCGTGCGCGAGAAAGACAAGATTCGTGTGCGGAGGACGAGGATACGGCCGCCGAGTCTGAAAAGACGAATCAATGGAGGAAAGGAAGGACGAGTTGGACGGGGAGGAAGAGATATAAGTCATCGTTCCTTGGGGATAAGCGCCCATTCCACGGTCGGCTGGATGATAGTGATGCTCGTGGCCGCCAGTCAAAGCCTCCTGGAGACGATTGTCGCCCTCTTCCTCCAAGTGAAGAACGAGGATTCAAGTCTGCTTTTCCTGGCGACCGCCGTCCTACGATGTCCAACAGTCAAGGCCAGGCGACACTAGACGCCCGCCTCCGCCCATGGCAAGTGACAGGCAGGCATGGTCACTTTCACCTGCGGGTAGTCGACCGAGTGCAAACGGCGACGCATCGGCAGGATCGCCCCCGCCAGCTGAATGCAAGACGAGGACCACCTTTGTCGGCCATCACCCGGGCTGCGCTGAGCTCTGGTGCAGCCGACGAACACCCTTCAAGACCTGATGAAAGATCGACAGGGTTTTCTTCCCCTGCAGACTGTTTTACCAGGCATGTCGCAGGAAGATTTTCCGGTACGTCCTATGTTCGTTCGAGCATTCGTCGATCTAAGAGCTAGGTATCACAGCCTATCGGAGGTGTACGCTGGGTCGAGGTTCCGCCCCAGGCGGGATGGCAAACGATGACCAAGACTGTGCGTGAATACGACGAAGACAAGGTTAAGGACTGCAAAGAAGACATTAGCACCCTGCTATTATTCATGAGTTTAATCACGTCAAGCCCATAGAGCGCTCTCATGTATACGTCTGGCGGCAGGCTGATCTGTACTCGGCTGTCCCATCGGCCTGTTGCCCGATTCGAATGACCAGATAACCTTCCTACTCGAGCGCGTCGCTGTGTAGACTCAAAACTACACCATCACGTCTGGAACTCTTAACTCCATCGTTCAATCATCCCCCCTCCCTTCACAACTCCGCTATGGGCTGTTCGCGTCAATGCTCTCCGTTTTGCGGCCTGAGCCTCATAGTCAGCATTGCGACTGCGCCGTTCAGCGTGCTCGTCAAGCAATGGCTTCAGGAGCACCTCGCGGTCGAGTATCCTGCGCCGCAGGAGCGCCTGCGTGCGCGCCAATATCGGAAGCCGGGACTCGAGAAGTGGAAGGCGTTCGAGATCGCGGCCATACTTCCTATGCTGCTTCAACTCTCGCTGAGCCTGTTCTTCATCGGTCTAGGCATCTTCACGGTGAATGTTGACGAGCGGATGGGCCTCATCTTCATACCCCTCGTCTGCGGCTGGGTTATCTTGTTCATTGCTGTTATGCTCGCACTACTTGGCTCGCCACGATGCACGTACAAGATACCGCCACTGAAGTTCGTAATGCGAGCCGCGAGGACACGGGTAACGATGAAGATGCGCCGCTCTTTGATATCGATCTATACGAGGATGATTACCACACGCAGGGTAACGATGAAGATGCGCCGCTCTTTGATATCGATCTATACGAGGATGATTACCACACGCAGGGTGGCGGGGAGACGATAGGTCTCTCCAGCCTGAAAGCACCTCTCTCCTCTTGGCCCTCCAGAACGACCCCGACATCGTCCTCCTCCCATGCATAATGCAGCTCCCCTCATCTGAGATCCCCACCACCGCGCTCGGCCCGCCGCCGCCGTTTTGCGCTGCTTCTCCGCCCTGCCAAAGCTGCGGCAGCTGAGCATAATGAACAACGAGGCCACGTTCTGTCATGCTCTTCGCGACCCCCAATGACCCGACGGTGTTTTCAGCACTCAAATAGCTCAGTCTCGGCGGCTTTGCGTGAAACAAATGCCACGCTGTACACCGGACGCAGTGGGCGCGTTCGCACTCCCTTACGCTACGGCTTAAACAGGTCCTCGAGTTTTGGAAGCAGCACGGCGAGGACGTTAAACGTTCTCGCTTTCGGCAGCAAACAGCATGTTCGAGGGACGGGATCGAGCGTAATCGGCGGCGTCCAGAGGGGCTTATGGAGGAGCTCGCATGCGAGGAAGACGAGAAAGTCGAGTGCGGCTCGTGTGCGGAGGGCGAGAAGGAGGGCGAGGATGTGGCCGCTGATGCAGACGGAGACGAATCAACGGTGCAGGAGGAGGAAGAGATGTAAACTATCTCTGGGGATGGGCGCTCTTTCCTCGGTCGGCTCGATTACCGCGATACTCACGACCGGCAGTCAAAGTCTGCTAGTGACGATTGTCGTCCTCTCCCCGCAAATGAAGGACTAGTAAGTCTGCTTCTCCTTACGACCGCCGTCATGTGATGTCTAACGATCACTCAGCCGGGCCAGGCGACCACAGACGCCCGCCTTCGCCCGCAGCAAGTAACGGTGGGGACAATCGATTGAGTGCAAGACTGCCACCGCACGCCGATGCAAGGCGAGGCCCGACGGACTGCGACAAACTCTAGTGTAACCGGCGACCGCCTTCCAAGACTCGACGAAAGATCAACAGGGCTTTCTCCCCATCCAGATTGGTCCCGACCGTTGCCTGTGGACGAGCGTTGTGGGACTGCCCCTTCACGAGCTGACGAATGTTGCCATCTGGGCGATTACTCGAACAAGGCCCCAACATCTTTCTCCGTTACTGTGGCTTCTCGCCCTGAGACGCTCCAAAATATATGTCGTTCGTTCCATACGTACAGCAACGTACGGGACGCCCCCAACGTATGGCAGCTCGGAACTACTACGGACCTAAATCATTCCCCGCCGCCACAATCTCAGCAGAAAAGTACGCCAATATATGCTTATGTGCGGATCGTCGCATTCGAAGGTGTACGTTATATATGGCATTGCAAAAATTCTGGCTAATATGATTCATTCTGCTTCTAGGTTCTTCGCGTGGCTCCTTAGTTCGCGACTGTTGGGCAAAGCCTGAGTCAAGTTCTGGGTCGGAGGACAACCATGCGGTGCGGCCGTTCTTGCATTAACTCGTACACACCTGCACGGATGAGACTGTGGAGCTCAAGATCTGGCAAATTTTGGGATTCGGACTATCGTGATCTTTGAGGCTTGGTTTTCGTCTGAGATTCGTACGACCGAAATCATGATTTTGTGCAATGCGAAATCCGCCCCGATCCGAGATCTCCCTGCAACAGAATGGCGCCCACAGAGCCTCAGAGCTCACGTTCGTTCGTGTTCGATACATCAAAGTGCACATTGAATGACGGGAGACTACAATAGAACATATGTATAACCTAGGCTGCAGGATATTGAGCCATGGCGGATGCTGGAGCAGCAGGCTGCGGGATGGAGAACGGTCCATCATCAAGCTCACTGGTACCTTTGCCCCCACAAGACCGGTATGCTGCCAGTATCGTGGTCATCCTCAAGGAGACCACTGCATCTCCAAATCAGGTTCTGCTTTGGTACTAGAGCTATCTGAGGGCGCCGGGGGTGCAAGGAGCATCTCTGCTTGCGCGGGTAGTGATCACTCAGAAGAATGTGGACTTGGCTGCCCCAGTCAGCCCAGCTTAGTTGTCAAATACCTGGTCGAGCGGATTGCTAGGTAGCTGAGGTCATGAATAGACCCTAGAGGGTTCATCTCTAGTTGGTCGTCAGCCGCAGCCTGATCAGCCCCGGGCAGTTCAGCAAGGCCGGCCGGTATATG